CTATCCATCTTCTATCCGCCTCCCCCTCTCTCCCTATTTATTTCAGAACCCCCTTCCCCTCCCCCATTTCTGAAGAAGGGTCTAGGCCCGAAACGTCAGCCTTTCTGCTCCTATGATGCTGCATGGCCTGTTGTGTTCATCCAGCTCTGCACCTTGTTGTCTCGGATTCTCCACCATCTGCAGTTCCTACTATCTCAGAATTTCAAGCTTGCTTTTCAGCTATAACGACAAATTGGTTAGGTTTGTTTTTGATCAGCACAAACTCAATGAGCCAAAAGGCCTATTTTTCTGCGCTGTAGACCTCTCTGACTTTGGCTAATCATCAAAATCAGATCAGGATTCAGACTGATAGAGATAGGTGGATATTAGATATAAGCTACAGGGTTGGGATGAGAAGGAGATTATTAATTGTCTTTCCTCCTTTACCAAGGATGTTTGGACCAGAGCAAGTAGATTTAGATTGTGTAAAAATAGGAATAGATTGGATATTGTACAGTAGATTATTGATGAGGACTATCCTTGGGGAGGGGGGTGGAGAATTTGTATTATATAAATGAATCTGTAGGGCTTAATGGTCACATTACATTAGCTTCTACTGACATCACCTGTATTCTGTTGGTGGAGATCAAGAATTGTTCTCTCACCTTCAAAGGAAACAGATGTATCTATACCAGCTCCCTAAGGCTCTAGTATTCATGCCTGGCCAAATACAATTGTAATTATTGCTGTCACAAAATAAACTTTTTTGTTATCCAGAAACAGTACCTTTGCTGTCGATATTCTACTCTGGTGCATGCTCAACTGCTAACAACTAGATCAGACCAAGGCAAAGCAAAGACAAATGCAGATTGGTGATTGGAAGATCCTTCAAACAAACCATAACCAGTTCACATACTTGTCAAAATGACAAATACCACAAAAATACCAGGAGTGGTCATCTCGGAAAATACCACATGGCTGTATCGGTGTAGATGTGAACCCCACCACAAGGGAAGAAATTCAGAAGAAAGACTGTTCAAGCAAGTTCAGATAAGCCATGATCCTATTGAATGATAATACAGGCTCAAGGGGATGAATGGCCTATTCGTGTTCCTATTTCTTCCAGTCTTCAGTGATTTTACCACTTTAAGAACATTATCGCTTTAAGAACATACGGATAGTCAATCAGCAACTAAAATGTGATTATCAATAGAGAGAGACAGCAGTAGCTGTGGATGCAGCATAAATGCAATCTCAGTACTCCAAATGTGAAACTTCAGTGAGAAGCTGGTTCGAAGAGCTGGGGCAAGAATATGGGCTAAGAAAAGTGAGAAAATCCAGCCATACTTAGAAAGTACAGAGGCCTTAGTGAAGGATGCTTTGTAAGAAGCAACTGAAGGCCATAAAACCATGAGGTACAGGAGTAAATTTAAGCCTTTCAGCCCATCAAGTCTGCTCCAACATTCAATCATGGTTAATAGATTTCTCACCCCCATTCTCCTGCCTTCTCCCTGTAACCCTTGATCCCTTTTCTAATCAGGAACCTATCTATCTTTGTCTTAAATACACTCAATGACTTGGCCTCCACAGTCCTCTGCAGCAATGAGTTCCACAGATTCACCACCCTTTGGCTGAAGAAATTGCTCCTCATCTCAGTTCTAAAGGGTTGTCGCTTCACTCTGAGGCTGTGCCCTCGGGTCTAAATCTCTCTTACTAGTGGAAACATCTCCATGCCCACTCCATCCAGACCCCTCAGTATTCTGTAAGTTTCAATCATATCCCTTCCCTATCCCTTTAAACTCCATTGAGTACAGACCCAGAGTCCTCAACTGCTCCTTATATGACAACCTCTTCATTCCCAGGGTTATTCTTGTAAAACTCTCCTGGATCCCCTCCAACGCCAGAATATTCTTTCTTAGATACGTGGCCCTAAACTGCTCACAATATTCCAAATGTTGTCTGGCCAGAGCCTTATACAGCCTCAGCAGTGCACTTCTGCCCTTGTATTCTAACCCTCTTGAAATGGATGTTAACACTGCATTAGCCTTCCTAACTGCCAACTGAATCTGCATGTTAACCTTCCGAGAATCCTAAACTAGGACTCCCAAGTCCCTTTCCCCGTTTAGAAAATAGTTTACGCCTCTATTCTTTCTTCCAAAGTGCATAACCTCACGCTTCCCCACTTTGTATTCCATCTGTCACTTCTTTGCCTATTCTGCTAGCCTGCCCCAGTCCTTCTGTAGCCTCGTTGCTTCCTCAACACTATCTGTCCCTCCACTTATCTTTGTGTCATCTGCAAACTCACCTCCAGGAGGTGAGGTCAGAGATTCTAAAGGGAAGTAAGGAACATTTTGAAACAAAAAATGGTGCAAAGACCAGAAAAGGAACACAAGGGATCATAAATGAGAGTTCATAGCTCTCAAAATGAGCATCACTGTATTGACATTTGGGCCTTAGAAGAGCAGTTGCAAATAACAGTGAAAAGGGCCAGGAAATAAACTTAGACTGTTTATAGGGTCTGGCAGAAAAAAAATTCAGGAAATATTAAAGATTTAAAAAACATCAGAAATCAGTAATTAAGCCGTGATTCTGGCAGGAAGATTTATAAAGGCGACAACTTGAGAACTTTATTTCAAAACATTAGGTAGAGGAAAGTATTTAATATTAAAGGCAGAAAACTGTTCATTTTATCTAGGAACATTCAGGAAAGCTCCATCTTAGCTGTTTAAGGCAGGAAAACCCTAGGAGAAGTGAACAGCCATCATTTTAATCACACGAATGGTGAGTCAATCTGTAGAAGGTGGGAAAACCCACCACACAGTGGAGTGATGAAAAGAAACAAATTGAAAAACCTTGAAAGCAGCAAATTACAAGAGCGTTGCCATGTTTTGATACCTGCTTCAATTTAAGAACAAATAATCTTCTTGAATGAGCAAGATTGAACCAATAAGTTCAAATTCCAGCAGACTCCATAGATAACTTAATGAAAGACCTGTACACAACGGTGAAAAGCTGTGAATATGGAGCTTTGAAATCATAATTCATACGAGGCAGAATTATTGTCAGAATTCACGATCATTTTTGTTTTGTCAGCTTTGCTATTGTCCAAGGAAGATTTACTCTATTCAAATTGAAGAAGAAACCTGAAACAGACACAGGAAAATTCTGAGGGGAAAAGACCAACATTACCTCAAGAGGGCAAGAGAGTCTATTCACTTTGTCAGGTATGGACATTCTAGAAAGGCATATGACCATACACACAGAAGAGAACTCGAACAACTAATGATAAAAACCAGTGTCAGCACAACAGGACAACAAGCTCTCATAGTCACAGATAATGTCCAGTCATCAATCAGGAATAGCATGACGATAGCAACGTTGAAGAGGCATTTAGGTAGACATACAAACAGGCAGAGATTAGAGGGATACAGACTAAGTGCAGGCAGATGGGATTCATTTAGAATGGCATCATGGTCAGCACAGACATGGTGGGCCGCAGGGCTTGTTCCTGTGCTGTACTGTTCTATGTCTTCTATGTTCAATAGACGTTACATTTGTAAAACTGCAGGACATTTTCAACAATGTGCAGAAGTAATTCATGGTTTCAGAACAGCAGATTCACTAGTGGTTGCACATGTGAGAAAGTCTATACAGTAGAACACCCACCACTATTGTAAAAGATATCTATCTATATTTGATATGATACTTCCATTTGAGAAGATACCTGAGGCATTTCTAATGAAAATACTGATTCGAACGTGCCAGATGAGGCAAAATTTGTCTATATCAATGGATACCATTTTAATTTTATGTTTGATACAGATAAAGTGTTACTGTCTGATCAAACCAGTTCCCATGACTGAAGAAGCAGAGGTTATAGCCTTAGGAGATACGATTACATTGCAGATTTGTGTTCTCCCAGTTGATTCACACTTAGAACACTCAGGATGACAGTTACCTGCAGACCATCCAGCTTGGAAACACAATGATGTCAGGCACTGGAAATCCACAAGGAATTGCATTTCAGGCAACAGTCCTTGAGCAGCAAAGCAGAGAATGATAAGGAAATATGAAATGATAAAAGCAAGAAGCTGGAAAGTCTTCTTCTCCCTGGCATTCTCAACCCATGATATTAGTGCCTGGTAAACAATTAACTTGCAACAACAATGATGCAGTGAACTCAAGATAATGACAAACTTTGGTACTGCTGAAGAAACAAGATAGCAGCTAAACAGTTGTGAGTCAGGTCATTTTCACAATTCGAGGGCTCAAAAGAAATTTAACTGAAATTGCCTTTATCTTCTTGGCTGCACTAGACACGCTTCCCCTTCCTTTTTCTGCTTATTTCCCTTGTTTATGTGTGTATTTAATGTTGCATTTTTGTTATCCTTTCAGGGTTATAGATGATGCAAACTTTTTCTTACACTCAAGAAACCACTGTAACTTTTATCTAGTTAATTTTCTTTTAATTGAAGCGTGATAGCTTTGTGCTAATAAAGAAATAAAAACAATTCTTGTGACCCACTGAGAGAAGTTTAGAGAAGATTTCCCATCTTCACTTGGTTGTAATAATTCTAAAAAGCCACATAAAAGATTAATTATACAGCAATATTTAAATGTATTGCTAACAGTTGTCTAGCCTGTTTACCACTGAAAGTTGTCATATCTGCTAACGAATTTTTCACATAATCCAAAGCAGCAGGATTTTAGTAATATACTTACGGCAAAAATGATTCCTGGATATTGCCCCAGATTTGCTTACCAGCCATAATAATGGTAAGCTGTGTTGTCAACTCGATGAGACATCCGCCTGGGTCACACTGGGAAAGGTTGGCAAACAGAAGTCAAATGCAATAAAGATAGAAATTAAACAAATACTTTTAATCTAAAAACTCTCAAAAAGGTCAATGTGACATGTCTCTTCATGTATTTTTGTAAAACAATGAAGCATAGTGGTCAAATTAAATGGGACCCATTGTGAATCGTTCATTTCTCACCATGTCTCATGGTTATAGATCAAAGTAGCCTTTCAATACCAGGCATCAATAGCTCTGTGATGGTGGTATAATGGTGAGCATAGCTGCCTTCCAAATAGTTCATCTGCGATGGGTTCCCAGTCATCACTAGGATTTAGGGCAGCACGGTCACTCAGTAGTTACTGCTGCCTCACAGCACCAGGGATTCGAGTTCAATTCCAACCTCGGGTGACTACCTGTGTGGAGTTTGCACATTCTCCCCGTGTCTGCGTGGGTTTCCTCCCGGTGCTCCAGTTTCCTCCCACAGTCCAAAGATACGCAGGTGAGATGGGTTGATGTGCTATATTGCCCCACAGTGTTCAGGGATGTGCTGGTTAGGTGGGTTAGCCATGGGGAATGCAGGATTACAGTGATAGGGTAATGGGGAGGGTCTGGGTGGGATGCTGTTTGGAGCGTTATTACAGACTCAATGGGCTGAGTGGCATCTTTCCGCTCTTTTGGGATTTTCTAATTCAGGTTCCAAAATCTCTGTGGTCGCTTTCACTCTGTACGACAGTGTGGAATGGGTTACGGTAAATGGGACAACTCTATTTATATCTTGCTTGCATCAGGCCATACCTCTGAATCACAAGGTTCCAGGTTCAAGCCCTCCTGCGGACTTCAGCACAAATGTCCCAGGCTGATGCTCCAGTCCAAGGCTGAGGGGGTGCTGCACAGTCAATCAGAGGCACTACCTTTCAGATGAGACATTAAACCGAGGCCCCACCTCCCTCCTCAGGCAGATATAAAAGACCCCATTGTGGCAATTTGAAGAAGTGGGCAGCACAGTGGCTCAGTGGTTAGCACTGCTGCCTCACAGCGCCAGGGACCCGGGTTCGATTCTGCCATCAGTTGATTGTCTGTGTGGAGTTTGCACATTCTCCCCATGTCTGTGTGGGTTTCCTCTGGTTTCCTCCCATAGTCCAAAAGATGTGCAGTTTAGGTGGATTGGCCATGCTAAATTGCCCCGGAGTGTTCAGGGATGTGTAGATTATGTGGGTTATGAGGGATGGGTCTGAGGAGCGGTATGGACTTGTTGGGCCGAAGGGCCTGTTTCCACACTGTAGGGATTCTATGACTCTGTGAAAAGCAGGCTATTTAACCCTGGCGTCCTGGACAATATTTACTCGTAAACATCACGTAGTAATTGATGTAATGTTATTTGAGAGAGTTTGTTGGCTTCAAATTGACTGTTGTGTTTCCTACATTACAACAGTGTCTACACTTCAAAAACACTTCAAAAGATTGTAAAGCACTGTGAGACCTCCGATGGCCTTAAATCTTTTATATATTATTAACATAGATAACTCTTTCTTTCTTTCTCCAAATTTTATTCCCATTGAAATTAAAGCTGAAAAGCCTTCTGAAGAAGGGTCACTGGGATTGAAATGTTAATTCTGCTTTTTCTCTCCAGATGCTGCCAGATCTGCTGAGTTTCTCTATTTTGATTTCTGAATTTGACTTTCTGTTTGTGCAATAGCAAAAATAAGCCACGGGAGGGAGCACTTGGCACAGTGAAGGACCCAAAAGCTTGAATGCCAACTAAATTTCCAAAGCAAAGTATTACGATAAAAATTGAGACCAAAAAGTGGACTCATTCGTAATACACTCAAGGAAATAATTATTTGGAACAGTAGGTTCAGAACAGCTTAAATTCGAGAAACTTTCCATTTGTGTGGACAGGAATTATAACTTACAGACTTCAACAATATTTTTCTAGAGGATGTATGTGGTTCATGTCATGAATTAGTTCTTACGCTGCATTTTGGCAAAGTCTGTGTGCTAAAGATTTATGTTTGACTGTTTCCTTGGCTTTCCTCCTGCTTCTCTCTGTGATCTCACTGCTTAAAACTCCCTTCCTCCTTTCCCTGCCCTCACCTCCTCCCTATCTCTGTATCCTCACCGTCAAGTGCGTCTGACAAAATTCACCCCCTCCTCCCCAGCCTTATGAAACCACTCGACTCCCTCCCCACAAAACCCCAACCATCTGGAATGTTCTGCCAACGGCCAGACTGCTTCAAGGAATTCTGGAAGGTGAGTTGGGAGAGGGGGACGGGGAAGGTGATGTTTTCGGGAGAAGGTGAATATTGCTGAGGGGTGTGACGGGGTTTGTCAGGGGTTGGGGGGGGTTGCTATGGGGAACATTGCTGTGGGTGCTGCTAAGCACTGACACTCCAGCTGTTTACTTAGAGCCATGCTCTTGTGCAGTGGTGAAAAGCTCTAAACAGAATCTGTGTAAAAATCAGGGTAAACATAGACCAAGTCAACTTTGGTTCCTCAATCAGGGAACAACCTGGGCAGCATAAAACAGGTAATCAGAAGTGTAAACTTTCTGTGAAAGTTGTGTTTATGCTGGGATTTCCTCAGGCTCCTGACACACATTAATCCTTCAAGATCTCCGTACACCTCCAATTCTAGCCATTAGCACGCCCCTGCGTCCCCATAATGACTTTATCTTCACCTACTTTGACCCTGAACACTGCAATTCAAACCCCAAACTCTTCAGCTGCTCCACCACACATTCCTCCCCTAAGTCCCTCCTCAGAGGCTAGCTCGGAGACCAAGCTTTTGGTCATTTGAGTTATATGTGGCACAGGGGTGGCATGGTGGCTCAGTGGTTAGCACTGCTGCCTCTCAGCGCCAGGGACCCAGGTTCGATTCCTCCCTCAGGCGACTGTCTGTGTGGAGTTTGCACATTCTCCCCCTGTCTGCGTGGGTTTCCTCCGGGAGCTCCAGTTTCCTCCCACAGTCCAAAGATGTACAGTTTAGGTGGATTGGCCATGTTAAATTGCCCATAGTGTTCAGGGATGTGTAGATTAGGAGGGTTACAGGGGGATGGGTCTGGGTGGAATGCTCCGAGGGTCAGTGTGGACATGTTGGGCCGAAGGGCCCGTTTCCACACTGTAGGGATTCTGTGGAGTGTCAAATTTTCTCTGCTAATGCTGCTGTGAAGCACTTTGGAATGTTCTTGCCACAGAGGGCTGTGGGGACAGAGCCCTCGTGTATATTTAGGGCTGAGATAGATAGATTCTTGATCAGTCAGGGAATGAAGGGTTACAGGGAAAGGACCAGGAGAGTGGAAGAGTGGACGTGAGGAATGCTGGATCAGCCATGATCCTACTGAATGGCAGAACAAGCTTGAGGGGCCGACTCCTCTTCCTATTTCTTACAGTCTTATAGTTTGTGTACATTTTCCTGGTTCAAGACCACTTATGAATTCAGCTTGTTGTCATTGTCTGTTCAAATGTCTTACCTCTTCATTTCGCCATGTCCCAAACAGACGGTTGTAGTCCCCAGGCCGACCAATGAACTTGCCTTTGAAGAAGGCAACATAGAAACAGGAGGAATAGTAGTTAACGAACTGGAAGAGGAACATTTTCATGGTCAGCCGGTTCTCATACTCAAAGTGAGTTTTGGGGATCTCTGGTAAATCAGAAAGAGAACAAACAATGTGGGTTTTAATAAAAAGCAAAGAACTGCAGAAGCTATAAGTCAGAAACAAAATAGAAATTCTGGGGAAAATTCTGCAGACCTGGCAGCATCTGTAGAGAGAGAGCAGAGTTAACGTTTCAGGTCCAGTGTCTATTAATTTACTGTGCTGCCCTCAGAATATCTCCTTCTTAAGATGTGGTGCCTAGAACAGCTCACAGTGACTCCAGGTGTCGACTCACCCAGACTTTGTACAGCTGGCTCATGACTCCTACCATCTTACTTTCTAGTCCTTTGAATATAAAGCCCAGAAGTCAATTAGACATTTTGATTATTTTCAATTCCTATCAATGATATTTTACTACTGTGTGTCTCTATGAAGCTGCAGTTTCTGGATTTTCACTGTTAAGAAAATGCTAAGAATATCTTTTGCAGTCTGAGATGGATGACCTCACATCTGTCTGTCTACATTGAAATTATACAGCAATTCATTTAATTTCTGAGTATTACTTTGTGATTGTATGATTCCACTTTACATTAGCTATCACTGTGTTATTTTTACTGTGTGCCTTTCTACACCAACACCTAAGTCATTAATAACATCGAGAGTAGTTTGTTGTATGTGCTGTGATTGCAAACACTACCAGCTTGTGGTTTGAGAAGTTTACTGCCACAATCCTCTTTCATGGACTGGGTCTCAGAATCTCATTGGTTTATCATGGTAAAGTGAGCTTTAATCAGAAGTAGCTCTCGTCTTTGGTAAGATGTAGTTTACTGCTTGACAGCAATCAGGTACAGCTTAGGTGAGTAAGTGAGATATTGTTCCTAAGACAACTGGGAGGTCTCGATCTTACACAGCACTATGACTTTCTGTCTTTCCTCACCAAGTTCTTATGAAATAACGCAAATGGGTGGAGCTCAATGCAGTCTCTAACAGTAACCTTTCCAGAACCATTATCTCATACAAGGTAGTGGAGTACTCAGCACAGACACTTATGGGACATAACCTGCCACCTTCTGGCAATTAAGAGTTACTGCCTGTTACCCCTGCTCCCCGTCTCCTCTCACATAGCCCATTTTCCAACTCAGTAAATAATCTGCCTTCAACCTTAGCTAAAAGGCTGTAGGGAGAGACACAGAATCAGAGTCATACAGCATGGAAACGCACCCTTTGATCCAACTCGTCCATGCCGATCAAGTTTCCCAAACTAAACTGGTGCTACTTGCCTGTGTTTGGCCCATATCTCTTTGAACCTTTCCTACCTGTTACTGTACCTACATCTACCGTTTCCTCTGACAGGACTGAATGCCTTCCAGTAATCCAGAATCGTTTCCATGCAAAACAAAAATTCCGTTAGTTTACTGACCTCTTCAAAAACCTATATTAGGCTTTTGCCAGTCAAGAGCCTTTACAAATGAATGCAAGCTCTCCGATCATGGAACATTTTCAAGCTGTACATTCATCCCACTCTTAATTATAGACTTTCACTAGCAGAATGAGCAGCCAATAGCAAGGCAGCATTGTCATTGGGAGGTTAGTCACCAGAGATACTCAATGCTCAAAGAAAAGATTGATAGAAAACAAAAACAAACAGAAGAACTACAGATGCTGTAAATCTGAAACCAAAACAGAAATTGCTAGAAAAAAAAAAAAAAATCGGTAGAACTGGCAGCATCTGTAGAGAAAACAGAATTAACATTTTCAGTCCAGTGACCCATCTCTAGAATGAACTGTAGCTAGGAAAAGGTGGTATATGCACTGAAGATGAGGTGTGCACGTGCGTGTGTGTGCGCGCGTGGGTGCGCGTGTGCGTGTGCATGTGTGCGTGTGTGGGGGGACAGTGGGGAGGGGGGGGCGGTGGTAGTAGTGGTGGTGGGTTGAGAAGGAGTAAGCAAAAGGTGGACATGGAGTCCAGAGAGTCAGAACATACGCTGGACAGACAAAGGGATGGATAATAGTGAGCCTGGGAGAAAGAAAAGCTGCTACTGGGAGCCATTAGTAACTGACAATGGGTTGGTGTGGGTGAGAGCAGCCCATATGATGACAAGACCTGGTGTGTGGGGGCTTGGGAAGGACATGGGAAAAGATGCTCAGGCCGTAAAATTCTTAAACTCAATATGGAGTCTGGAGGGCTGCAGAGTCCCTAAACAGAAGATGAGGTGTTGTTCTTCCAACTTGTGCTAAGCCTCATTGGAGCACTGCAGCAAGCCTGAGACAAAGGTGTTAGCCAGGGAACAGGGTGGTATGTTGAAGTGGCATGCGACTAGGTGATCAGGATCAATTTTTGCAGACAGAATGTAGCTGTTCTGGAAAGTGGTCACCCAGTCTGCATTTTGTCTCCCTAGTGTAGAGGAGACCACATTGTGAGCAGCGAATACAGTAGACTAGATTGAGTGAAGTGCAGTAAATCGCTGCTTCACCTGGACGGTATGCCTGGGGCCTCGGATAGTGAGGAGGGACGAGGTAAACAGGAAGGTGTTACACCTTCTGTGATTGCATGGGAATGTACCGTGGGAGCATGGGAAATGTTGGGAATGGAGGAGGAGTAGACAAGCGTGTCCCAGAGGGAATGGTCCCCGAGGAAGGCTGACAAGGGAAAGGAGGGAAATATGCGTCTGATTGTGGCATTAGCCTGTTGGAGGTGGCAGAAATATGCACATAAATCCTCCTTAACCATGCCCCCTTTGATACTCTGTCTTTAGCATATATATCACCATTCCCTAACTAAAACCAGTTCTGAGAAGGGTCATGGGGACATGAAATTTGACTTTGTTTTCTCTCTACAGATGCTGCCAGACCTGCTGAGTTTCTCAGTAATTTCTGTTTGTGATAGAAATTGACAGAAGTTTGGCGATGAATAATATTAAGGGATGTGGAGACAGCACAGGAAAATGACACTGAGGTATATAATTGGCCATGACCTAGAACAGCAGAGCAGGCTTAAGGGGCTCAATGGCCTTTTTTTTATAATTCATTCACAGGATGGGGGGCATCACTGGTTAGGCAGCATTTATTGACCATCCCTAATTGCTCAGAGGGCAGTTGAGAGTCAACCACATTACTGTGGGTCTGGAGTCACATGTAGGCCAGACCAAGTAAGGATGGCAGTTTTCTTCCCTAAAGGACAATAGTGAACCAGATGGATTTTTCCAACAATTGGCAATGGATTCACGGTCATCATTAGGTTATTAATTCCAGATATTTATTGAATTCAAATTCCACCATCTGCTGTGGCTGGGTTTGAACCCGTGTTCCCAGAACATTATCTGGGTCTCTGGATTAACGGTCCATCAATAATACCACTAGGCTATTGCCTCCACCGATTTCTGCTCCTACAGTTGTTAAACCACATCATGAGTATTCTTTCTATGGTCAACAAATTCTGGCACAGGACTTAAACTTAATGTTAGCCCAGAGTTAGGGACATTACCCAGACGATTATAGGCTGTTGTCTCATAAGAGAGAGCCAACTGGTGGCGAATTTAACCTGAGGAGGGGAGGGGAGAGATGGAGAAGGCAGGATATTCATCGTTAACCTCAGCTGCAGGAGGTATTGAACCTGTGCTGCTTAATCACTCTGCATCACAAAAAAGCCATTCAGCCAACTGAGCTAACCGAGCCGTACCAGAAGACCTCTTACAAATACCACAATAACCATTTAAGAATCTAAAGCTGTCTCAACAAAAAAAATCTGTAAGACAACACTGCCATAAAAATATAATTAGTTCTCTCATGTGTCTGCTGCCTTAAGTCAGTTTTACGCCAGTTTAGCACTAACTTCATTGACAGGCCTTTGAGCTGTCCAGCAACATACTCAGTTTTACTAGAGATGAGGCACCGAACTTATTAATGAATAACAGAATTGCCCCTAGGTGTAGCAAATTACAGCATGAGGAGGTAAGCTTTCATTCTGTAAATGATCAGCATCATGTGTATAAATGCAAACACTTCGATAAAACCAAACAGGTTCAAGAACAGCTTCTTGCCTGCTGAATGGACCTGTTTAATTTCAGATCTAACATTGATCTTGCTTCGCGCACTTCCTGTGTGGTGTAACATGTGTGGCTCGCGCTATCTGAACACCCTATGATCTGAATTGTTTGTTATGGTCTGCCTGCGCTGCTCGCAAAACAAAATTTTTCACTGTTGCTTAGGTACGTGAGACAACAATAAATCAAATCAAATCAAAACATTAAGACAGATGTCCTTGTGGAGAAAGATGGTGAAAGAAAAGCTTTACCAAGATCTGTGATCCAGATTGCCACCTTCTCGTAGAAATAGTTTAGAATCATGATGATGATAAAATTCAGGACGGAGGCTGTAACTGATGTTGCCATCTGAGGTGTGAAGAACGTGCCAATGTACCTGACCTTCTTCATATTCACAGTGATCTTGGCAAAGGAAGCATACATCGAGAGGCGATACACGATAACCGCAATGATACAAATCAGGATCAGAGAGATCTAGGTGGAAACAGAAACAAGTAATAGCTGGGTAATTTGAGCATTGCTGAAAACAGGATACATTTCGTGGAAACTTTGAGTCTGGAACTTATTGGGACAGACGCAAGAAAGCCAATTTATTGCTCCTTTAGAAATTTGGCATTCTTGCATCCATCCTGAAGAGTGCAAGGTGAAAAGCTTTAACGAAAAGGGAAGTGCATCTTAATTCGTTGATTAGAAAGGAGAACTGTAGCAAACATCCTCTGTGAAAACCTTTCACAGTCCTAAATTTCAATGTGGCCTAGTCAGACATTTGTCAGTTCAAACCTCACCCAAGGCCATCGGAGCTGCACTGCGCAGTTTAAAGGATTTTGTTTAGTGTTTTTGTTCTCTGTCCTTGTCTCAAGAATGGTCATAATAAAATAACTTGTAATGTACTCTGTCTTGGAAATAAAAAAAATCTGCTGTGTCAAACTGGCCAAAATAACAAGTGACTACAAGCAATTGAAAATGTTCGACTTATTTTTATCTAATGAGCACTGGCACCATGATAAGTTGTGTTGGTGAAACACAAATAAACACTGATCAAAAATAAACAAATGGAGGTATTTAGCAGCAGAACTGTGGAACTGTGAGGAGATCTAAACAAGTATTAACATACCCATTGCCTGCTTATTTACTCCATCTAAAATTCAACACCCTGAACTCCAATAAGAATCTTTTCTAATTGTTTCATGGGATGCGGGCATCGCTGGTTAGGCTGATATTTGCTGCCCATCTTTCATTGCCCTTAAACTAATTGGCTCTCTGAGCCACTTGAGAGGGTAGCCACACTGCTGGAGCAACATATCGGCCACACCAGGTAAGGACAGCAGATTTCCTTCCATAAAGGACATCAGTAAAGCCAGATGGGCTTTTGCGGACATTTGGCAATTGTTTCAGGATTAGCATGACTGAGACTAGCTTTTTATTAAATAGAACTAATACATCTGAAATTTAAATTCCACCAGCTACTGAGGTGAGATATGAACCTGTGTCCTAGTGCATTGGACTTAGCATTTGGAATTCTAACCTAATGGCAGTGTCACAATGTCACTACCTGAATATTGGGGTGGAGTATCATGTAATGGGTGGAAAATGCAAGCTTAACTTTTCTGTATTGCTGCCCATGTCCAATTTTACCCTCACAATACTATAAAACTGAATTCTAATATCTTTGTCATGAGACAACGAGGTTAAAACGAGCAGACTCCCTGAATTGCAAGGAGTGGTAGAGATGGGAGCATTTTCAATAAAATTGGAGGAAACCCCGAACAGAAACCAGAATTTTGGACGTTACTGATATTAACAAGAACCTGGCTTGGAGGAATTTAAAAAAAGGTACTCACCCAAAACAAAACCGTAGCACCGGACAGACAAGAGCGTAACGCCTGGTTTGATATTGGGATGTAAGGCTCTGTTTCCTGAAAATAAAAGATTAATATGTGAATATTAACAGTGAATAAACAGCCCATTTTGAAGTATGAACATGCAGCACACTGAAATCTGTTCCGTATAACCATGAACAAATGAATAAATACAACGAGTCATGCATTTAGAAAAGCCTTGATAAGGTTTTGACAAATTTGTGGAATTTCAGTGGAAATCCATTTTTAGAATTCAAGCCATTTTTATCAACACAGGCAAGAAGAGTGGAGGAAACAGAAGTAGCTGTAGGCTATTTGGCCCCTCTAACATACAACAAGATCATGGCTGATCTTCTATCTCAATGACATTTTCCCATGCTAGACTATATCCCTTGCCATCTTTAATATCTAGAAAACCAACAATCTTTGTCTTGAACAGACTCAATGAGTAAGACTCTACAGCTCTCTGTGGGACAAAATCACAATGGTCAGTAATGGGACTGCTCAGTGCTGGTGTTGGTCATTGAATTCACCCGCCCACAGTACATTCTGCCCCTTCACCACCCTCAGTGCTTCCTCCACATGGTGTTCAACATGGAGGAGGGCTGATTCATCAGCAAAGGGAGGGCCTTCTGTGGTAATGAGCAGACGGTTTCCTTGCCCATATCTGATATGATTCCTCAAGACTTCATGGGGTCCCAACTCAATATTGAGAACTTCCAGGATGGCTCCTTCCTGAGTGTATATCATTATGCTACCACTTTTGCTAGGTCTGTCCTGCCACTGGGACGGAACATACCCGGGGATGGAGGTGACATTGTCTGGGAAATTATGTTTAAAGATATGATTCCATGAGTATGACTACTTTAGGGTATTGTGTGACTAATCTGTGCAATAACTCACCCAATACTGGCACTAGACCCCCGATGTTGGTAAGGGGGACTTTGCAATGTTGACACAACTGAGTTTGCTCTTGTCTTTTCCAGTGCTTTAGTCAACAGCAAGCAGTCCAACTGATTCCATTTCTTTTTTGAGATGTTTTAGTGATTTGATGCAAATAATCAGCTTGCTAGTCCATGTTAGAGGGCACTAAAGAATAAATTACATTTAAAGGCTCTTGCAAAGATTTGTAGCTCAGGCTGAGGCTGAAGTTGTTAGCTTGCTCGCCGAGCTGGCTGGTTATCGTAGACATTTTGTCACCGTGCTAGGTAACATCATCAGTGCGGCCGCCGATGAAGCAATGTTGTAATTGCAATGATTACAATAAACATTACATCAGCCAGACCAGAAGGAAACCAGTCATCAGGGTATACAAACACCAGCTAGCAGCAAAACAACACAACAAACCTTCCCTCATCTCAGTGCACTCGGACAATGAAGGCCATCAATTTAACTGGGACAATGTGACCATCCTAGTTCAAGCCAATCACAGGCACGCACGGAAATTTCTAGAGGCCTGGTTTTCAACCAGTAATGCAATCAACAAACAAACAACCCATATACAAATCCATACAGAACAGAACCGGAAATGACACAATACAAGTTAACAGACCGGATCATATAAATTCCAAGTGGAGTTCGTCGGAGGCTGCACTGATGATGTTACCTAGCGTGGTGACGAAACATCTGAAAGATAACCAGCCAGCTCGGCGAGCAAGCCAACAACCTCAGTAAATCACATTGGCATGGGTCTGGACTCATATACAGGCAAGACCAAGCAATGACGGCAAGTTACCTTCCCTAAAGTGCATGAGTCAACCAGGTTACTTTTATGGCAATTGACAATAGATTCATAGAGTCAGGAATACAGCGTTACTGCTGCAGAGAAGGTGCACAAAGAACAAGGTCAACATTAAATGTGAAATTTTAGGGGTCCATTCAGAAATATAACAACAGCTGGAAAGAACCTGTTGGTACATGTGCTTAAGCTTCTGTATTTTCTGCCCGACAGAAGAGGTTGGAAGAGGTTATAACCGGGGTGGGAGGAGTCTTTGATGATGTTAGCTGCCTTTCTGAGACAGTGGGAAGTGTAGATAAGACGGCTTGTGTTCTCCCACTTGCATCCACAATTCTTCTGCTGCATTATCCACAAATTCTTGTTTTCTGGTCCATGCCGCATCCTCTTCAATATGGACGTGTGATCCCTTGGCACACCCAGCCCTGTCAGGATCGGGAGAGAGTGCTGAATGATTTGGCAATTGGCCTCTGTTTGGTGGAGGCTCTGTCATAGGCAATGCTGCTGTCCTCTTTTGTCATACAAGAGAAATGTTGGTTTTCCCTTTTATTGGTATTTTTTGGTAATTGTCCTGATGAGTGTAAGGTGAAAATCTTCAAACAAAACGTATCTGTTTTTATACAAATTCAAGTTCTGAAGAAACAATGCTTTAATCTTGAGGAAGAGGGCAGGGCGGCACGGTGGCTCAGTGGTTAGCACTGCTGCCTCACAGCTCCAGGAACCCGGGTTCGATTCCACTCTCCGGCGACTGTCTGTGTGGAGTTTGCACATTCTCCCTGTGTCTGCGTGGGTTTCCTCCGAGTGCTCTGGTTTCCTCCCACAGTCCAAAGATGTGCAGGCTAGGTGGATTGGCCATGCTAAATTGCCCATAGTGTTCAGGGATGTGTAGATTAGGTGGGTTATAGGGGGATGGGTCTGGATGGGATGCTCTGAGGGTCAGTGTGGGCTTGTTGGGCCGAAGGACCTGTTTCCACACTGTAGGGATTCTATTCTATGATTCTATTCTATTCTATGAAAGATGGTTTGGGGGTGATTTTGCAGAGCAGTGGACTAAGAAGTTATGAGTTTCCAAATGAACATTTCTAGAAAGTTATTATTTTGCAACACAAAATGATTCTTTAATAATCTCACAGTGAAGGCACCCCTTGATAGCAGTGACCATAATATGACAGAATTTTACATTGATGGACAGAAGTATGGACCTAAGACTATTCTTTCCCTTTAAGTAAGGACAATTATAAGGCAAGTAAGCAGAGCTGGTTAAAGCAATTAGAGTCATACATCACAGAAACAGACCGTTTGATCCAACTCATCCATGCCGACCAGGTTTCTGAAATTGAATTGTCCCTTTTCTCGGCATTTGGCCCACACTCCTTTAAACCTTTCCTATTCATGTATCTGGCCAAATGTCTTTTAAACGTTGTAATTGTACTCGCTTCTACCACATCGTCTGGCAGTTTGTTCCATATAAGCATCACCCTCTGTATGAAAAAGTTGCCCGTAAGGTCCGTTTTAAATCTTTTCCCTCTTACCTTAAACCTATGCCCTCTAGTTTTGGACTTCCCTATCCTGGGGAAAAGGCTTTGACTATTCACTTTATCTATGCCCCTCATGATTTTATAAGGTCACCCCTCAGCCTCTGATGCTCCAGGGAAAAATGTCCTTGCCTATCCAGCCTCTCCTTATAACTCAAATATTTAGTCTTGTTAACATCTTTGTAAATCTTTTCTGCACTTTTTTCCAGTTTCATAACATCCTTCCTATAGCAGGGAGACCAGAGTTGTATATAGGACTCCAAAAGTGACTGGGAAAATTAGATGAAGGATACGCTAATAGAGATGCAGCAGTAGACATCAAGGAAATATTTCAGAATACACAGAGTAGAAGGAGTTGGATGTAGTTATTATAGGGATCAAAGTGTTTGTGGAGAAAGTGGGAACAGAATACTGAAGTGGATGATCAACTGTGATCATATTGAATGGTAGAGCAGGCTCAAAGGGCTGAATAGCTGACTCCTGCTCCTGTTTTCTATGTTTCTTGTCAATGGCTAAAGTGTTGCTTTAAGACAGTGGCTATGCATTTCACACTGCTATACTTCATTGATGTCTGAACAACTTTTCATAGTGACACTGAGTAGATACATTCTAACAAGCAAGAATAAAAGCAAAATACTGTGGATGCTGGAAATCTGAAATTGCTGGAGAAACTCAGCAGGTTGGCAGCATCTGTTGAGAGAGAAACAGAGTTAATATTTCAGGTCTGGTATGCCTTCTTCAGAACGCAAGCAGTTTTTCTCTTGACTGGAGAAACTCTTGACTTTGAGGGGTTCTGAAAAGGAAGTCATACTGTACTCGAAACATTAACTCTGTATATCTCCACAGATGTCATCCTCACAGGAGCGGCTTTATGCTGAAAGCTGCCAAAGCCAGGGGTTTAAACTGAGCGTGTTCTCTTTTAAGCTACTAATTGTACCTGAGTAACTGGGTTTTTCTTGTGGTGCGTACACTTTGCCTCATACTCTGGGCGTATCTGAAGTTGCTGCTGTTCTTCTTCAAAGTCCACAAGATCCCACTCATATTCGAGCTTTGCCTGTCGCCGCTTCCACAGCTCCAGAAAAAGAGTAACTGCTCAAGAAACAAATACAAGCAGCACCAGTTACATAAACAGCCTAACACCATTTCCTTTAGCTTTCATTCCCCGTTTACTTATATGAGCAAACTTGCTACAGTCAAAGAAGCAATCTTGATGAAGTCAAGGCTTTCAGAGCTTCCTCTCTGTGACTATATTCCACAAATGCTCATTTAATTTGTTTTGATTTTATATTATCCAACTCAAATAACTGAAAGACACTCACCCCAGATGCCCATAAAAACCGCAAAAAACAAGGTGGCAGCATTGTCAAACAGGTGAGAATTCTGTAGCAAAATAAAGAAGGGTTGAACATGAGACCTTTTATAAGTTAATTTCAAAATTAGTGCTATAATGAACAAACTGGCTAGGTTACTTTCAGGACTGCCAGAAATGCAAAGCATCCCCCACTCAAAAACAAAATTGCTTTTACAAGTTTAAACTCCAATAATCCACCTCAACGTGTGCACTTCAGCAAAGCATTAATATGCTTGAGAAGAGCTAAAAAGTTTGGGGATTGAAGGTGTGGCACATGTGCACTTAGGCTTGTCTGCTTTTTAAAAGAAGTTCTTCATGGGATATGGGCATCTCTGACCCCAATCAGCCTCGAGAAAGCAATGGTGAGAGCCACTTGAATCGCTGTAGTCTACCTGGTATTATTTTAGCCCAATGACAGTGACACAATTCCAAGTCAGGAGAATGGGTGGATTGAAGGGGGAGGTTAGGGTGGGGGTGTTCCCAAGTACTTGCTGCCCTTTTCCTGTTAGGCGGTAGACATCACAGGTTTGGAAGATTTTGTTGATGGAGATTTCGCGAGTTGCTGCAATATGTCCTGGTACACACTGCTGCCATTGCTGAGGGAAGGTCCACCTTGATGAGTACGTCAATGCCTTGTCTTTGTCGAGGAAATGGTTAGTCAAGTGCTACCTTCGTTGGGCATGCTGGCCTCCATCAGAGATTGCTTTTACACTCCCATCTACATAGTTAGCAGCAGCAAGTGTCAACAGTTCATACAACAGGGAAGACAAAAACCAGGGCAATTTTTAACATTCTCTGCTGATGGATGGTACAAGGGCCATTTCAACAGACAGATAGACAAAGGAAATATTTTTAAAAATGATGAGGCACAGTTTTGGTAACTAAGAAAAATGCTACATTCCAATTTATTCTCAAAACAGTTCAAACCCGTACATCAAAACCAACAATGTTCCTGAATTATCATCTTACAGTTAAATGAGTTGTGAAGAGCAGCGTTTCCCAGCTATTTCATTTAGAAGTGGAGATGCTTCAGTTCAAAGATACACACCTTGGTTGATTCACAGGTGGTATTCAGTCTCCAGAAGTCACAACCATCACATAAGGGACACATGATGATCTTCCCTCCAAGGTCAGCGTCACAAATTTCCTCACTAAGGCGAAAGGTGGAAAAAAAAACGAACATTTAACTCTCCCTATTGGGAACTTAAGTTGTAATACATACTCAATTAGAGAAGTAAATGTAAGGTTTCTTTTTAGCTTTTCAAACTGTCAGTCATTGTGTGCCATTGACGGACTTGCTTGGACCATCTGCTAGCCACATGCACATGGACAACTGATAGTTTCAAGCATCAACAACTGCAGAAGCATAGCTCAGTCATTGAGTAGAAGTGGAAGCTAGAAGTCTATTAGTGAGAAGATATATTTGCTGCAAGGTAAATTTCAAAGTGTTTTTTGTGCAGTCTCTATTATGTAGCAAATGTACACAGTAGCAGGAATTGGGGTGATGAGTTTAATGATCTTATGCATTATTTTCCATATCCTCAGGTACAGTTTTAGCTACTTGTTGCTGAAATTGGGAATATTTAAGAATAGTGCAACGATTTTTTTTAATACTTTGCAGCTTCCAGGAATTGTATGGAGGAGCTGGTTAAGTTAGCGGAAGAACTTCCTGCTACATACTTTCATTTCCATGTCCCCCATGAATTTATTGCCTGACTTTGTGCCATTTTAAAATGCAATGCATTTACTTAGCATGTACCCAGCTATGATCCATATGGTATCAAGCAAATAAGGCAGCAAAAATCATGCCTGTAAGTTTTTAAATGGCATCTGTGTTTGAAATTATCAGTCCGATCACCGATCCTTATATGTTACTCGATTGATAAGCTTTGTGGAGGGAGCTTCATTTTTAACAAAAAAAACTTTGCCTCTTTCAAATGAAGGATTGTTCTGATGCCTGATTGTTTACTTGCTGACTTCTTCCAAGGCCAGCAATTTGTACTTACCTTATGTTTCTATGTGTTGCTGAGGTCAGTGTACAATGCCCCTTGCATGCCCCTCGAAATAATTTTGACTGCCATCTGCTAGTGACATCATTCCCACTAGCACTGGGTAGGAGTCAGAGCTGGAGTGGGCAAATGAGGCTTGAGAATTAAAATATCCCCAAATCATAGCCAGATATTTAACAGTCTGCTAATGTCCCTATTACACCAATGTAGAATGGAAGTAGTGGCATGGTGGTAATGTCACTGGACTAGCAATCCAGAACCCCCGGCCAATGGTCTGGTGGACATGGGTTCAAATCTCACTTAATAGGGAGGGATTCGTACATCTTGAATTGTACTCCCTTGTGAGAATACAAAACAAAATCTTTCCTCCCAATTAGTCAAGTACTACCCAATCAAAATGGATGGTGAAGCTTACCTCCATATATTTCTATCTTTGGTTATGCAGCCGTACAGAAAGCAAATGAAACCAACAGCACCTGCAATTCCCAGCATTTCTGTGTAAAAACCAAGCCAGGCAAAATATATTCCAATCTTCTCTCCATAGTATTTCCTACAAAGCAGAAACAGAGAAGGGAGACCCAATGAGTGTTGCAGGTTCCAAAATCTCAGGAATTGAGGGCCTTTTTTCTAGGCTGCCTCATGGGACGTGGGCGTCACTAGCTGCCCCAGCACTTCTTGCCCGTCCCTAGTTGCCCCCCTTGAGAAGGTGGTGGTGAGCTGCCCTTTTGAACTGCTGCAGTCCACCTGCTGTAGGTTTACCCACAATGCTCTTCGGGAGGGAATTCCAGGATTTTGACCCAGTGACAGTGAAGGAAAAGCGATATATTTCCAAGTCAGGATGGTGAGGGACTTGGAAGGGAACTTGCTGGTGGTGGTCTGATGGCCTTGTTCATCCAGATGGAAGTGGTTGTGGCTTTGGAAGGTGCTGTCTCATGATCTTTGGTGGATTTCTACAGTACATCTTGCAAATTGTGTACATTGCCGTTAATAAGTGTCATTGGTGGAGGGAGTGAATGTTTGTGGATGTGGTGCCAATCAAACGGGCTGCTTTGTCCTGGATGGTGTCAAGCTTCTTGTGTGTTGTTGGGTCTGCAGTCATCCAGGCGAGTGGGGAGTACTCTGCTGTACATTTTGTAGTTGGTACACATTGCTGCTCGTGAATGTTGGTGGTGGTAATGGTGACTGCTAATAATGTACATTTGGAGGTTACCTCTCATATTAGAGGTTACCGAATAGATTTATTTAAGCTATACAACTGAAGTTTTAACATTGAATTTAATCTGGTATTCTATCAAAACAGAAAGGGAGTAAGAAAGAGAACCACATGACCCTTAAAGTATTCTGAAGTGGCCCACATTCCATTGGAAAGACTATTTTACAAAATAAATACCCTATATATGTCCATTATTCTCAACAAGCAAGTACATATGTTGTGAATTTTTTTTTATTAAATGAAACCAAAGAGCTGAACAAATAACTCAATGGAAAATATGGAAAATTAAAGGTAAAGTTGTTAATGTCATTCAATTTTATTTTCAAGCGTAGATTCATGCAATCTCGCTCTGTTATTTTGTTAGAGAATTATCCTCTCCTTTCTTTGGCTCTAGAATTCTATCGCAAGTACAAGAAAGCAGGGTTAGGGTGCAAACCAGCACTGTTTCTGCCTGATATGTGTTCCAATCTCCTCAGAATCACAGAATGATTGTAGAATGAGACCATTGGCTCCTGCTTGTCTGCATCCACTTTCTGAATGAATGTTATGACTGATTGTCATTATCTGCCTTTTTCCCGGCAACTCTGCACGTTATTTCTTTTCAAATCATCATCCAATACCTTACTGAATGCTTCAGTTGAACCCAGCTCCACCACTCTTCCAGGCACTGCATTCCAAACCTAACTACTTGCTGTGTGAAAAATCTTTAGTTCACGTCACACTTGCTTCTTTTGCAAATTACTTTAAATCTGTGCTCTTTTGTTCTCAATCCTTGTTACACAGGGATTGGTTACACAACCAATTTCTCCCTATTTACTCTATCAAGACTCCTCCTGATTTCGAAAACCTCTATCAAATCTCCTCTTAACCTTCTTCTTTCCAAGAAAAATAGTCCCAACTTCTCCAATCTGTCCTCAAAACGGAAGTTACGCAACTAATCCTGTAAATCTCTTCTGCAAACTCTCTCCAACATCTTCACATTTTCCAAAAGTATTGTGTACAGTTTCTAACACCATATTCCAGCTGAGGTCTAACTGGTGCCTTATAAAGGTTCAGCATAAGCTCCTTGCTCTTGTACTATATGCTTACATTAATAACACCTGGGATACTGCATGCTTTATTAACTGCGCTTTCCAAGTGTACTGCGACCATTAATAACTAATGTACATATATTCCACAATCTCTCTGCTTCTGTACACAGTTTAGAATAATGCCCTTTATTTTGTACTCTGACCCCATATTTTTTCTATCAAAATGTATCACCTCACATTTCCCCACATTGAACTTGATCTGCCACCTAACTGCTCCTTTCACTGAGTTGTCAAAATAATTTTGAAGTACTCCTCACAATTTATAATTCTTACAGGTTTGCATCCTTAAATGCAAACTTCAGTAGCTGTGATATAAAAGCCTCATTAATCTTATCACATCTTAAAGCATAGAAAATAGGACCAGAAATAGGTTCTCAGCCCTTCGAGCCTGTTCCAACATTCAACATGATCATGATTATTCATCTGTCTCAGCCTTATGAACTCACGCTGCTGTCATGCCCTTTGACATTTTTAGTTTCAATTAATCTATTTCTTACTTAAATATGTTCAGTGACATCACCTCTACAGCTCCCTGTGGTAGAGAATTCCACTGGTTCACCAGCCTTTGAGAGAAGAAATTTCTCTTCAACTCACTCTGAAATGGCTGACTACAAATCCTATGATCACTATCCCATGTTCTGGATCTTGGGGTCAGGGGAAACATCATCTCTGATCCAGCCAGCCCTGTCAGAATTTGATGAGCTTCATTGAGACCCTCTCTGATTCTTCTAAGCTCCAGTGACAGTCATCCCAATCTCTCCTCATCTGACAAATCTGCCATCCCAGGAATCAGTTTGGTGAACCTTCGTCGCACTCTCTGCATCTTTTCTTAGCTAAGGAAACCCTCTTGAAATGAAAACCAAAGGACCATTTGTCTTCCTAATTGCTTTCTGCACCTATATGCTTGCTTTGAATGACTGGTGTAAAAGGACACCTAGGTCTCTTTGTACAATCACCATTCCAATAATACGTTGCCATTCTGTTTTTCCTTCTGACGCGGACAACTTCAATTTATGCATTTTATACTGTTTCTGTCATGTATTTGTTCACTCACTCAACTTGTTTAAATCCCCCTGAAGTCTCCTTACATTCTCCTCAACACCTTCAGTCCTATTTAGTTACGAGGAAGCTTGGAAAATACAAATGATTCCATCATCCAAACCCTTGCTATACATTGAGAATAGCTGGGACCTTATCACTGATGCCTATGGTACGCTCTTGTTAACACCTTCCATTACAAAAATGACACATTTAATCCTACTCTCCATTTGCTGTCTGCTATCCAATTTTTAATCTTACCATTCATCTCAAATGATTTGATTTTGCACAATAACCTCTTATACGAGGTTTTGTCAAAACGTTTCTGAAAATCCAAATACACCTCATCTACTGGTTCTCCTTCTTCTATTCTACTCATTGTGTTCTCAAAAAGGTCCAGTAGGTTTGTCAGACATAATTTGGCTTCATTAATCTTTTGTAAAATCCCATTGGCATTATTTAAGTGTTTTGTTATCACATCCTTTATAATAGAGTCCAATATTTTCTCTACTAGTGATGTTAGGTCTTTAATTCCCAGTTTTTTCCCTCCGTCCTTTTATAAACTGTGGGGTTACATTTGCCACCTTCCAATCTATCAGGACTGTTCAGAATCTACAGAATTTTGGAAGATGACAACTGATGCATCTAGTATTTCCATGGCAACCTCCTCTAGTACCTTGGGCTGTAAACAATCAAGCTCTGGGGAGTTAACTTTTAGCCCCATTCATTTATCTAGGACTTTTTGTTTACTGATATTAATTGTCTTCAATGTCTCCTTCCAAAAGATTCTTGCTTTCCTAGGGCTTCTGGAAAGCTTTTAGGGTGTATTTCTGTGAAGGTAGAATAAAGGTGGCTGTTCAATTGCTTTGCCACTTCTTTTGACTTTGTATCAATTCTTCCATTTTAAATTGTAAGTGGCCTACATTTGGTCTTTATCTTTTTTTTTCTTTTTACACACGTATAGAAGCCCTTTAGAATTTAGAAATTTATTGACACGAACAAGAAGTTGTGAATGATCAATAGAAAATGATCAACTCTAGGGTCATCTGTGAACTTGAGATCATGGTTTACTCAATACTATGTCATACTTAGAGGGGAGGGAAATGTGTAAAACTGGAGCGTTTCTTAATTATTCTTTTGACTTTCGATCACGCGTCACTCAACAGTCTACCGGTTCTGGTCTTCCCACATTACACTCTTCTCTAACAGGTGTCAGTGGCAAATTGGTTGGTAGATTCCATGGCCTGGAAACAATTAGGTTTGTGTTTCAGTTATGCATTGAATCTGGGGTTCAGCTATGAGCATTCTTGTTTCTGAGTCACAATGTTTAGAATCAGAGAATCCCTACAGTGTAGAAGCAGACCATTCAGCCCATCAAGTTCACACCAACCCTCTGAAGAACACCCCCACCAGACCCACCCTCCTTCCCTATAGCCCTGCACATTTCCCATGGCTAATCCACCTACCCTAAGCATCCCTGGACACTATGGGCAATTTAGCACCCGGTGGAATCCCATGCAGACATGGGGAGAATGTGCAAACTCCACATAGTCAGTCACCTAAGGCTGGAATCGAACACGGGTCCCTGGCACTGTGAAGTAGCGATGCTAACCACTGAGCCACCATGCAAGTCCTGGGCATAAACATTAAAGTAAAAGCTCCAGTGCAGGACCAATGGGGTGCTGCATTGTTGGAGGGTGCACTCTTTTGGATGAGTCCAAGACCTCAAATGCTTGCTCAGGTGGATATAAAGATCTCATGGCACAATTATGAACATGAGGTAGGGAGTTATCTCTCGTTGACCAATATTTATTCCTCAACCAGCATCACAAATAAAAAACAGACTATGTGGTCCTCATCACATTGCTGTTTGTGGAACCATACTATGTACATATTGGCTGTAGTGTTTCCATACATCACTACACTTCAAAAATGATCACTTCATTGGTTATAAAATGCCTTTAGACATTGTGAGAAAGTGCAACATAAATGCAAGTCTTTTCTTTTTAATTCAGATGGGTTAGCAAAGTACAGGAGCAAGTAAAGAAGTCAGGGCAATGATTTTGCCTGGAGAGGGGAGAAAGCCTGGAACAGGGAAGGTCCGAGGTCTCCTCTGTGGAACATAAGGAACATTGCTGCTGACAGATTCCAGGTGAGCAGACTGGTAGCTGTCATTTCGGTCTCAAGCCCAACAAAATACAGTCAATTCCAACCAAAGTCTCAAACCTGATAAGGTTCAGAGGCTGCTCCTTGTAGAATTGGCCAAAGCGAGCCCACTCTTTGTATAATGTGTATCGTTCATTCTCACTCTTGGGGTCATGAGATTTCTTCCAGTATCTGCACTGTAGAAACAAAGACATAAGTAGATGACAATGCTGCTATACTTCAGCAAGATGAAAGTGAAATGTTTTCAGACATCCATTTATATGAAAGTAGAAATGATCGAGAATGAAATATACACAAAAGAAGAAGAGCAGAATAAAGTTCTGAGAAGTTAGAACCCACTCCCCATTCCTTCTTTTGTATGCATAACAATTGCAGTACAAAAGTGGGCTTTCTCTTGAATCTATGGTAATGAAGTTTGTCATTGCTGGCCCCAACAGCTGGTTACCTCAGTTAGTTGGAGTGTAATGCAGAGTAATACCAACAGTTCTATTCCTGCATCAGCTGAAGTTGCCATGAATGTAACTTCTCAGCCTCAAGTGCCGGAAGTATTTTTTAATTTCAAACATATTTTATTCATAAAAAATTCTTTGTATAAATACAATGTCACAAATGCAGTTCAATTCTGTACAGTAATATATCAAATAAACAAACGTTGGAATTTGACTCTATTCAAAAACCAAAGACGTTCTGAGGTATAATGACCCTCAGGTTAAACTCACCATCAACTGTCTCTCTCTAACATGGGAGCAATTCTCTGCAACTATAGAGACTTTACTAATGTTACTCTTGGTAACTTGGATACTTGAACACCCAACACTGTATATGTGCTGTACGCAGCCTCAGTGCATCATGAAATTGCATCATTGCAATGAGCTCTATTGCCGGTTATGGTCCGAGTGCAGGACAGACTCTTTCCAACTAAATATATTGCTAGCTTACGTAAACTTCCTGATTAGCAGAGGAAACAAGCTCAGAAATATTTATTGTCACATTATTTGTAAGACTACATTCACTACGATCACACCTTCAGGGGAAATTGGAGAATATACTTTCCTCACATGCTGTCGGAAGGGTCGGTAATGTCACTTTATTTTTAAAATGTTACTTCAATGATCCACTCCACCCATACGAACCTCTCCCACAACTCTACCACCATTGTTGATTTTGGGGTTCTCGTGATCGAAGTAACTGTATATGGGCATGTGACTATTTGTAGCAATTTTCTGATAGTTTAGAGTTTGTGAAGCAGCAGTTTAGATATGATACATTATCTAAAGAAAGTTCACATCCATGACACTTGTGGACAGTTCACTGATACTGGAGGATAAACAGGCTGTTGGTGCAGAATGCGCAAGTCTCATTCAAGTTGTGAAGGCAGCATTCTGCTCTCTAGCTGGAGGTGTTGGGGAACTCCTCCCTGGGTTTTCTTTTTCTTTTATCCATCTTCCATCTGGAGATGGATGCTCTCAAGGACGACCTGATATGCACACCCCTTTGTTCCCTGAGCACTTATTCATAGAATCAACAATGTGGAAGCAGGCCATTTGGCCCATCAAGTCCACACAAACCCACGGAAGAGCATCCCACCCACACCCACACCCCTCTCCAATCCCTGCATCTTCCCTTGGCTAATCCACTTTAGCCTGTGTTCCCCTGGACACTACAGGGCAATTTAGCATGTTCAATCCATCGAGCCTGCACAGCTTTGGAACGTGGAAGAAAACCCACACAGACACAGGGAGAATGTACAAACTCCACACAGACAGTTACCTGAGGCTGAAATTGAACCTGGGTCCCTCGCACAATGAGGCAACAGTGCTAACCACTGTGCCACCGTGTCGCCCTGGTGATATTGTTGTCCTATATTTCTAGGGACGGATTATTTTGTCGGTGTCAGTCAATTGTCTAAACCCTTTTAGTCAATGGCCTTGGGACAGCTACAACTGACATTGGTTGACCCTGGTCTTCTCCCTCACTTTCATCTGTGGGTTAGTTTACCATTCTTTCTAAGAACAAAACCTTTTATTTTCAAAAAAACTGCACGCTGATAACTGGGTATATTTGGTGCCAGATAAATTGTTGATACTAGTTCAATGCACATCGTGACCTCGCTGTTTTTCATGACTCTTCCCTTTTGTCTTCCCCGACTAAAACTGTGGAAGACTAATTCCTGCTATAATAGCTGTTAAATGAAATCTCAAGCTACCCAGTAAATTAGAGGAAAATTCAATTTCTAAGGGAGCTCCACACCATCTCAATCTTCTGGAATATAAATCTGCTGCTATTTCTACCGATGGCCTCAACTTAAAGTTCTGACTCATTTTGGATGCCAGTTGATCACTGCCCCTCCCAATTCCTCGCTGCCTCACTTGGTGTATCTTTTGCCACATCTCTCAGCTCCCACTTACTTCCAAACCCTCTCACTGCCCAATTCCAAAATCTTGATAAATCTACTAAAGGTAACAGGACGGTGCATCTTCCCATTATGGCAAAGGCTTGCAATGCTATCAACAACGCACAGTTTGCCATCTGTGAGACATTTACAAATTGGTGCATGGAGTATAGGAGTTGGGAGGTCACGTTGCAGCTGTACAGGACATTGGTTAGGGCCACTTTTGAAAACATGCGTTCGACTCTGATCTCCTTGCTCTAGGAAAGATATCGTTAAACTTGAAAAGTGTGCGGAAAAGATTTACAAGGATGTGGCCGGGATGGCAGGCTTGAGCGATAGGGAGGGGCTGAATAAGCTGTTTCCCTGGAACATCAGAGGCTGAGGGATGACCTTATAGAGGTTTATAAAATCATGACAGGCATGGATAGGATGAATAGCCGCTGTATTTCTCCCAGGGTAGGGAAGTCCATAAGTGGAGGGCATAGGTTTAAGGTGAAAGGGAAAGACATAAAAGGGACCTAAGGGGCAACTTTTTCACGCAGAGGATGGTGCGTGTATGGAATGAGCTGCCAGAGGAAATGGAAGAGGCTGGTAAAATTACAACATTTAAAAGGCACCTGGATGGGTATATAAATAGGAATGGTTTAGAGGGATATGGGCCAAATGCTGGCAAGTGGGACTAGATTAATTTAGGATATCTGGTTGGCACAGAATCAGGCTGTGAGACAGTTTGCACAAGAGGGTTTTGAAGCAAGTGGGAGCTGAGAGATGTGGCAAAAGATACACCAAGTGAGGCAGCGAGGAATTGGGAGTCAGCATCCAAAACAGGTCAGAACTTTAAGGTGGAGTGAAATGTCTGTTTCTCTGCTGTACATGTCTATGACTCGGAGTGTCGCTTCCACCAGGAGCTGAACAAAAATGTACTCTGGTGAGTGGACGGTGATAAAGTCAGGTCTCCTTCACTAACTCGGAAACACGACCTGCAGGGCAGGCTTGGTGATCAGCAAGAGCTGCTCAACTAACCTGAGGTCATCCCAGAAATACGGGGATCATGCCCATACATCCCTGCCCTAGTCCTATCCTTCCTCACTGTGACTTTGAGCATATGTGCAGCCTACCGATCTATGCCTCTACAAACACTATGCTGAATACTGTGCAGCTGTACAAACAGGCTAAACCAATGCATCGAAAAACGTGAATAATTCGTCAAGTTAGGTCACGTGGGATTCAGGGTGAGCTTGCCAATTGGATACATACTTGACTTAACGGCAGGAGACAGACACAATAATGGTGAGGGGTTGCTTTTCGGACTCAAAGCCTGTGACCAGCAGTGTTCCACAGGAATCAGTTTGTTATTTATATAAATGATTTGGACGAGAATACAGAAAGCATGGTTAGTGAGTTTGCGGATGACACCAAAATTGGTGGCATTGTAGAGTGTAGAAGGTTTTCTAAGATTGCAAAGGGATCTTGATCAAATGGGTCAATGGGCTGAAAAATGGCAGATGGAGTTTAATCTGGATACATGCAAGGTATTGCATTTTTGTGCAACAAATACGGTAGGGCTTATACAATTAATGGTAAGGCCTTGGGTAGTGTTGTAGAACTGAGGGACCGAGGGATGTAGTTACGTAATTCTTTAAAGTATATCACATATAGACAGGGTAGTTAAAAAGGCATTTGGGATGCTTACCATCATTGCTCAGTCCTTTGAGCATAGGAGTTGGGATGTTATGTTGAGGTTGTACAGGACACTGGTAAGGTCTCTTCTGGAATACTGTGTCTAGTTCTGGTTGCCCAGTTACAGGAAGCATATTATCAAACTGGAGAGGGTTCAGAAGAGATTTGCCAGGATATTGCCAGGTATGGAAGGTTTGAGCTAATAACGAAAGGCTGGGTAGGCTGGGACTTTTTTCACTGGAGCGTAGGAGGTTGAGAGGTGACTGAAAGAAGTTTATAAAATATTGAGAGGTAGAGATAGAGTTGATAGTAGTCTTTTCCCTAAGATGGGGAATTTCAAGACTAGAGGGCACATTTTTGAGGTGAAAGGAGAGAGATTTAGAAAAGACATAAGAGGCAAATTTTTACACAGAGGGTTCACGTGTGAAATGACCTTCCTGATGAAGTGGTGGATGTGGACACAATTACGACACTTAAAAGTCATTTGGATGGATATATGAATAGGAAAGGTTTGGAGGGATATGGGCCAGGAACAGGTAGGTGGGGCTAGTTTAGGTTGGGATTATGTTCCGCACAGAGTGGTTGGACCGAAGGGTCTGTTTCCGTGCTGTATGAATCTATAACTATGACTATGGTATGACATGCTCGCTATGGCATGTTGTGCTATTTTTAGACAATTTTGTAATATTAGTCTGGTTACACATGCCAAGCTGCCGATACATAATAGTAACATTTCTCAATGTATACGCAGCTCCTCTTAAAGGCAATGAGATCTAAAGCAATATGAGCATTAGCTGTGTGTGTGAGACAGAGCGAGAGAGAGAGATCTTCAATATTTCCAGGAAGAACTCATTAATATCTCAGGCAGTACTGCAATTAGGAAAGATCATTTTCATTTCCTGATGTTAAACCCTAACTTCCAAACAACAGATCAGAACTAACATTGCTCAGAAGCAATGCCACTACCTTCATAGCTTACATGACGCAGCCAGCAGAACATAAAACTTTCGGTTTGACAGCACCGTCCTGTTCCTGGCAATCACTGCTCGCATTGCTACTGCATAGTATTGCTTCACTTCACCTGTGCTCAAATGTTCGAGAAAT